CAGCTCAGGAAAGGACGAGCTGCAGACACAGCCCCTGCGATGGACACGCACACGGGAACACACATCCACGCACACCACGAGACACGGCGTGTCGGGAGGGCTCCTCGCCAGCCCCACGCAGCAGCAGGGCCAGGAACGCGCCCGCTCGCTTTATTATTTTCACATCAACAGGAAATATCATCTGAATACATATATTTTCAAAACTAGATTTAATCAAGTGCTTTAGAAGACAATTCACATTTTTCCTTCTCTGTAAACAAATATATTTTTTAAAAAAATCATACATAAGATTAAACCTTTAGACGTAGTCCAAGCAGCAAAAAGATTCCCCTGCCCCTCCAGCCCACAGAGAATGTTATGGGAAAGGTACAGCTGTCAAAGCCCTGCTGTAAGCCGTAACCAGGGAATTTCAGGAAACACAAGTGGATTTTCCCCCCTTTCTGCACTCTGGAGACATGGACAGATGTCCCAGCGCGGTGTCACCCCTCGCCCGTCACCCCTGCGTGCCAGCACAGGACGGCCACGCTCACGAGCCCTGGCACCAGCCCTGCACTTCGGTGACCCGGCTCCTTTGCAGGGTAAAGGAGGCACGAGGTGTTTTAACAACCTCCTTATTTACACACAGGCGGTTTAGGAGGAAATTTCATGGTCTGCACGACATGAATCTGTCACACAGTTAAAGAGCAGTAAATTCCTGCTTTAGCCCAGTAACCCCAGAAGAAAACATCTCCCCAGAGTTGCTAGAGCTCTCCTGGCAAAACAGGGTAAATCACAACCAAAAGGACTTAAAAAGTGGAGCTGCAGCCTTTGTGCTGGTCCTTTCCACACTAGTGGGTACTGACAGGCTGAACTTTGGAGATTTGAGTTTGTTATTAAAAAGTGAGAACTATGGACTGGAATTTATTTGTCCTAAGAAACTCAACACAGCAGAAAAGTTCTTAGAGCACTTTTGATAACTAACAATACCTGAAGTTGCAAGCTGGATTGCATGCATTACAAGATAACTATCTTCAGTTTTGTTAGTTTTGTATTTAGGAATGTTATTACATAAAGCCCACAATAATATGCAGTCACTTGAACATTGCGTATCTATAAAACCTGTCTAAAGCTGTTTTATCAGGTATAACTTGAAAGGACTTCAATATGCTATAAACCAGATGAACATATTTCCAAAGCTCTGATTGCTTTTTTAAATACTGAAGAGCCCCATGCACGAACGATTTAAGATCAAAGTTCTCAGGTATGGGCTGCCATCTCCTCAATATAACTGTATTACCTGTTACCATTTTCACGCAACTCACTTTAATCAGCAAGAGTAAATTTACAAGTGTGCTATAATGCATGAAATAAGGAAACCTGTTAAACATGCAAGAAAACATGAGCAGGAAATTCAGAGGGAAAAAGCCTACTATTGCCATGGTTTGTGCAAACTCTTGCAAAACTTTCATAGCCAGAAGTGTAATGCGGAGGCCATCATTTTAGGAATGTGAAATGATTTTGACTTCTTTGCATACTGTCTATATAAATATGCTGTGGTATAAAGCATTTATACTATTTTACTTGAATCTGAAATTCACATATGTTGATAACATACTGATACAGTATAGGTGACATAAGAAAAATACATATAGTAAGGATTCCAACCACTTTCTAGGAGAGTGTCTACTTCAGAGACTACTTGGAGTCTTCTGTGCAATAAATATTATGTAAAGCTGGCACTGCAGCCTTAAGCAAAACTCAAAAGCTGCAGGGGGTTGTAAAATCCCTCTGTTCCAGGCACATTTTAGCTTGGGGAACACCAGAATATCAATCTCACCAGCAAGTACCAGTCAAAAATTTCAAAACACAAATGATATTGCCCATTACTGTATGCTACACAAATCTGAACATGCATCCTAATAGGTATCAGTCTCTTTTCTCAGCTCATTAGAGCTATTTTCATGCCTGACAAAAGCTCACAGCAGAGAGACAGCATGAGGGGAAAACTGCTTCAAAAAAAGAGGCCAGAACTAGTTATCATACCCTGTCCAAATCCAAACAAAAATAGCAATTAATTTAAAATACTTGAGTTTCATCCAGTTGATAATTCATTCCACTGGCCTGTTTTTTTTTTTTTCTGGCCATACTTTAATTTTCCTTTCAACAATATCTTCTTACATGATAAACCAAAACACATATATTAAATATCTGTGTTCTGGGACCTTAGCATTTAAATTAAATGTACCTGCCTTCAGGCATTTTGGCAAATGAAGGTGATGCAAGCTTAACAACAAGCACTGAAGATCTCTGAAAAGAAAGAGATCAAGGACTACAGACTCATCACAAAACACACTATGGATCTGTTGTATCAGAAAGACAGGGACAAAAGCAATATGGAAAGACAAATGTATTCCCTAAAACATAAAGGCAATGCTTGCAGATAGATGCTGAAGGAAGTTCCCTACAACTATGGGCAGGGAAAAGTACTCTAATCACAGAATGCCCATACAATAAGGAAATGTAATAATGAAAATGTCTCTACAAGTTTGTCAGCAACTTAATCTCACAGGTTTCTGCCAATTCCTGTGCCGAATGTAAAGCCTCGATCCTTCAGATTACAGGCAATATATGTTACCATTTATCAACATACTCTTAGGATAAGGTTTTCAAATTGGCTTCAGAATTGGTTTCACCTTTATTTCCAGAGGCCACGTGAGTCACACGCACACAAATTTACTTGCACTTCTCCTCGTAGCGATGTCAGGTCAGATCTAAGTGGGTCTCTCAGATTTCCAGAGCAGTCTCTGCAGATTAATCACAACTACCATCTTTCCAACCATCTCGCCAGCGCTCATCCACGCGAGAGCAGTCAAACTCAGTTTTCCCCAGTTTCTTGTTCACTTCATTATGAAGAAGACACAACCACTGGGAGAAGTTATGTCTGTTGCTAGTATCAGGCTCATTGGTACGTAATCTGCAGACAGGGAAGAGGAAAGAAGTGTTATTTCTCTGCAGCCACCAAAGCAGGAGCAGAGCACACAGACAGCTAAAGCATCAGCCCCAAAGAGACCTCAGAACTCAGCACAGATTGACCAGTAAACCCAATAAAACAATAGCTGTAGCCAACTTGGTTTCACTCAACCACTAGTCTTGCTCTCAACGGGCAAAGATGCAGCAGTCAACAGCCTATTCATGCCAAGAAGCAAGAAATGCACTCAATAAAAAAAAATTGTAATCATACAAGTGGAAAACATCGAGCAATTTTCTCCTACCATGAGACACCTGCTGGCTTTTAGTCATTGAATAGTTTTCAAACAGGGGAAAGAAAGAAAAAAAAAGGTTTTGCTCTATCTAACTTGGACAAAGAAAGAGCCTCACTAATAATATATTTGGCTGTGCTTACACACAGCTTGTAGATAAGCACTACTTAATTTTTCAGCTGTTTTCATATTACCCAACTTAACACCGTTCAGTCTTCTCAGTGCCTAAGGACAGTCTGTTTCTAAAGATTAAAAAAAATCCACTGAATTCAGGTCTCCCAATATGACAAAGTCTGTTACCACTCAAAAATACTTAATTTCACCACTAACCAAGATAAACCAATGCCCACTCCATACTACTGAGTTAAAAAACAAACAAAAAAAAAACACATTAATCATGTGGAAAGCAGGAGTTGAAGCTGCGTAGAAACATGTTGACTATAACAGCCCACTGCTGAGGTTGCCACGGAAAACCCTTTTTTGAGGCAAAAGCACACACTTACCTCCTGAAAGCCAAATTAACCCCAGCCTAAATCCATGACCAGTCAGATCAGGTTTGAACCATAAAAAAACTACAAAACTTCTTGCGGGAGGACTCGGGGGCAGCACACAATTTAAGAGCACTAGAGAAAGCATTCTTTTTTTTTTTTTTTTTTCTTTTTTGAATAGGGATATGAGATTGATGCAATAACGGAAAACAAACAGGGAAACAGCCCAGCTGGCTGCAAAGCCCAACTAGAGGAAGCGCCGCTGCCGTGCAAACAGGCACGTCGGTCACGCAGCGCCGCGGGGTGACGGCGCAGCACAGGGTGACTGCGGGGTGACATCAGGGCGCCGTGGGGTGACAGTGCTCCGGTGTGACGGCACCGCGGGGTGACGGTGCAGCACAGGGTGACTGTGGGGTGACATCAGGGCACCGCGGGGTGACAGTGCTGCGGTGTGACAGCACCGCGGGGTGACGGCGCAGCACAGGGTGACGGCGCCGCGTGTCTCACCTCTCGCGGAGGTCCTGGGCGCACTGCTCGCAGGGGTAGAACTGCGAGAAGAGGTGCAGGAAGCGGCGCATGTCGCGCTGCTGCGCGCCGCTGGGCTCCTCGGGGTAGTAGGCGGCCATGGTGTGCAGGAAGGCCCAGGTGCTGCGGCCCAGCTGCTCGCTGTCCAGGGGACAGTCCGGGGGAGGCTCCTTCTCCTCGGCCGCCACGTCGGCGTCCTGCGAGGGGACAAGGGGGACATTAGAGATGGAGCGGCTGGGGGAAAGGCCCCTTCCAACCAGCATGAAGGGCAGCACCCAACAGCACGATCTAGGAGGGCCCCTGTGCCCAGTTTTGAGCGTGAAACCACCTCCAACGCAGCGTCCTCACCCTCCCGACCCTCCTGCCCAGAACACTGCACCAATCCAGCAGAAAACGCTCCGGTCCTTCCATGCAGGATGGACTGCAACCCGTGGTGCTCACTAGCAGACCGTGACCACCCCGAGGGCTTCCCAGCCCCACCGTGCAGCGCTGACCAGTCGACACTCGAGGTGACCAAGCGCGCCAGTGCCTGCGAGTTTCAAAGCTCATTGGCTTTATGCCCCACGCTTTCCTCTTCCTCCCACCAACAGACATCTGCACGCTCATTTTTTCCTTTTTTTTTTTTTTTCCTCCGGCTGTCCATTTCTGCGCGCTCCCTGCGACTTTTTATATCCTGGAGGCCCCATGGAGGCCAGTGAGGGCGCAGATCGACCCTGCCCACGTCCACAGTGTATCCCCTGCACAGCCGTGTGTGCCCGTGTCCTCCACGCACGCCGTGTCCTCCACACGCTGTGTGCTCCGCACACAGCAGGTCCTTCGCATGCTGTGTCTGGGACACACACTGTGTCCTGCACATGTGCGCCGTGTCGTCCACACACAGTGTCCTCCGCATGCCATCTCCTCCACACACACCATGTCCTCCACATGCCATGTCCTGCACACGCACCATGTCCTCCGCACGTACAGTGTCCTCCGCAAACACCGTGTCCTCCAAACACTGTGTCCTCCACACGTCTCCTGCACACACACTGTGTCCTGCACACACACCATGTCTGCCACACATGCCCTATCCTCCATGGTCACCATGTCCTCCTCGCATGCCACGTCCTCCATACCTTGCGTCCTCCACACACACCGGGTCCTCCACACATGCCACGTCTTCCACCCACACTGTGGTTCCCCACAACCACCATATCGCTTGTTGACACCTTGTCTGGTGGTGGCACCCGTGTGGACACTCGTAGGGTCCAACTTGCCGCTTTAGGGCTCTGCTGCATGTTCTGAGGAGGCCCAGATTCACAATTTTTGTGTGTGAAATCATTGAGGTGAGAAGATCTGGCCTGACTCTCCTCTCGAGGTCTATTTAAACGCTGCAGGCAAATCTGCTTATTTGTATAATCTTTAATGATATTGCACCAGGCTCAGTTTTGAATCTCGTATTTGAAGAGAATAGGGTTAGTTTGGCTTCCCGCAGCACGTCTGTGCGCTAGCGAGACGACCTCCCTTTGCAGCCGTCTCGCCAGCGCTCGTCCACCTGGGAGCACTTGAAGGGGTGTTTGCCCAGCATTTTATTCACCTGGTTGTGGAGCTCACAGAGCCACTGGCACAGGTTCTGCCGGCTGCTGGTATCTGGCTTTTTCGTGCTTAAGCTGCAGGGGCAGAAACAAACCAAACACAAATTACACCCATGCAGAACCAATGAATTCACTGCTCGGGCAAGGCAAGACTAAAATATAGCCTGCTTTGCTCTGTAAAATGTCCTGCCATTACACTCAAGCTGCTGGAGTTCTGCTTTCCTCTTTGAAAAAAAACTTAATTAAGATCAAGCAGGACATACCCCCTCTGCAATGTGTACCTATCTTTATAGTATTTACCATAAATACAAAGGTATCAGTCATTGCTTAATTTACACCTCTCCAAGCCCGTGCATAATGTGTTCTGTTTGAGTAGGGCAATGACAAACTGTTGCAGGTGCCCTCATGGCTTCGTCACTGTAAAAGTCTTCACCTTTAGGGCACACTAATATTCCAAAATCCTTTCAGATCGTCTCCTATCCTTGCTATTATTGCACATTCTATGTGCTGCTGGATCCGCAGCAGAGCTCAGCGGCTCCATTGCAGTGATGTAATCAACAACATGATTAAAATTAAAAAGTAATCAATCCATTAATTAAATCAGACTTTTGCACCAGTAGCAAAATGTCTTCCTGAGACATTTTGCCTGTTTAAAAACTGCTACGTGCTTGTGTTTAGGTAAAAGCCTGTTGAGAAAGCGTTTGCTTACTTGCTCCGGAGATTGGCTGCACATGTCGCACAAGGGTAGAACTTGCTAAGGAGGTTGAAGAACTGGGCCATGTCCTGCTGCTGGCTCAGGCTGGGCTGCTCGGGGTAATACGCTGCCATGGTGTGCAGGAAGGCCCAGGTTTTTCGCCCCAGCTCCTCTGTGTTGAGGGGACATTCAGCAGCTTGCTTTCTCCTCCTTTTCTGGAAGGCACAGGGTTTACAAGCGTGTCAGGGTTGTGCGGGCCTTAGCCTATGTCTAAATCAGCCTAATTCAATCAGTCGTCCTAACAGAGGGAACTAATGAGACATTTTAGGTGCGAATGTGCGTGGACACGGGGGTTGTGACCCAGCTCTGATCCAAACCCGGGTGATCGCACAGCACCGCGTCAGGCTCAAAGCCATGTCCCGACCCCTGGGAAAGGCCGACGAGCTCAGCCCCGTGCTGAGAGTCCACGGGAAGCTTTTTGTCCCTTCATAGTGCGGTCTGGAGAGTGTGACTACCTAAAACCAGGCTCCAAGGCAGGACAAATTGCTGAGGGCGAAAAGGAGCGCTGGGACCGCTGGAGCCTCGTTAAAAGCACAGATTACGTGGGCTCGTTAGGACATCGGGCATCCTGCATCTCCTCTAGCTGTAAGAGGATGGAGCGAGGAGGGAATTTTCAAAACATGTAGAGGAAATTCCTGGTGTGGTTTAGTCCTCACCTTGATAGCCCTGGAGGGTCACAGCTCATGAGCTGCTGGCCATCTTATGGTAAAAATAGTCCCCACAACTGCTTAAGCACGGCCCAAACCCTCCTCCCGGAGCTGTCTTACCCTCCTCCTCAAGCGCATGCCCCTCGCCATCCTCAGGAGTTTCCTCTGGCTTTTTGCCTTCCTGCAGATAAGGCATTTCCTTCTCTTTGGTCTGCTCAGGGCTGTGGGCTGGTTTTGTGCGGATGAGGTGCTGGGAGTGTCGGCATCAGAAGAAGGTGAAGATGGGGCAGAGGGTAGAGAAAGCAACTTCTTTGCCGACTTCCTGTCCTTTTCCAAGTAGAACACCAGCATCACATCATTATTTTTCTTCTTTTTGTCTTGCTGCTGCGGGGCCATGAGAGGGATTTCCAGGCCCCGGAGCAGTCTCCCGCGGCGGACAGAGCGCTCTAGAACGCGACGTCCGTGTCCATTTCCACCGTTCCCATCTTCGTGTCCCGCAGGCCGAGGAGATGCCACGGCGCCGTGTTTAGCTCATGAAAGCAGAGCGCGCTCCGAGGCTCTCCTGGAGCCGCGCGGAGCCGACGGCGGCGCCGGGAAGGGGTCGCGCTCCGCGCTCCGTGCTCCGTGCTCCGCGCTGAGCTCACAATGCGGAGCCAGGTTCCGGCGCCTCCATCCCTGCCCACGGAGTCGCGTCCCCTCCGCTTCCCAACGCCGGGAGCCCGGGAATGGGCGCTCGGAGCTGCCGAGCCCGCCGAGGCGCCCCGCGGCGCTTGCAAAGTGTGGATGTGGTTTCCTCTGGCTGCCCGTGGGAAGCGGGACTCCTGCAGTGGGGTGGATGTGGCAGAGGCAGCAGCAGACACAGGGTTTTGTTGTCTCACATTTGAGTTTATTTTCTCTGGGTCTTTGCAAACAGAGAGGAAAAGCTGCTGCTTAGCAGCATCCCAGGTGCCTGGGTGAGGAGGCCTTTCCGCGGTTCCGCTGCCTCTCGTCTACTCAGAAAACTCCCAGGTATTTTCTGTTGCAATTCGCTTGGCGCTTTGCTCGTCAGCACCCGAGATTTCTCCAAGAGGACTCTCCAAAATCTCCTCCTAAGAAATTCTCTGACTGTGGCTGTCGTTTTTCTGCCTCTGCTCCCGCCTCGTCTTGCCCCTGGGCCAGCACCGGCCCTTTCCATGTCCCCTTGGGCAGTGCCGATGCAACAGCCTCTCCTCAGCAGCTCCTGCTCCTCGGAACAGCTTCTCCACATCCACCTCCTGGCAGGCTGTTCCACAGGCTATTGGAAACACGTCTGGAGTCTTTTCCTGGCTCTTAAACTAGAGCTGTTGTGCCACAAACTCTGCAAAGAGGCAATTTGTTTGAAAGCTGCTGGAAAAAAGGCTGCTCGTTTTCAAGCTCTTATCCTATGAGATGTTTAACACAGCATGGTGTAAAATTTTGACTAGGTAATGCATCATATTTAGAAAGATTTTTCAAAGACGTGCGTTCCCAACTCCACGTGCGTTCCATGGGAATGGCTGCCAGGTTTTCTAGTCTGTGTAGCACAGAACGGATGATCTAGATCTCTGTCTTTGGACCGAGTATTTAGTGCTCCATTTTTATACATGCAAAATTTCTTTGCTGATCTTTGTGAGGGAGGAGAGGAGGCGTGAGTAAATGACAGGAAACAGAGAGATTTGTCTAAATTTACAGGCAACTATATAAATTGGAGACATAAAGGAAAGATCTGGTGGGGAAAGGGACATTCCTCGTATTTGTTGTCCTTGCACACCAATAAAGATTTCAGTGCTGTTGATGACATCATTCTAAACTTCATTCTGGAGAAAAGGTTCCCTGGTATCTAGGAGAACGAGCAGGGGAATTTCTTACGATACTTTATTGTTCATCATTCAAGTAATTAAATATTTGCAGAGATGTTTTTACATTAGAACAGTCACCCCGATTGGCTGTTAACACAGTCTGCTCGCTTCCTTGTTAGTGATTTCATTTATTTATTTAGTTAAATGTATACGTGGGTTTGACACTTGCTTAAAGTTAAGAAATACATTGGAAAGCAGCTGCTACCTGAGCAGGGGTTTGTGCCCAGGGTTTCTCCCCCTGCCCTTTTTCTGGGCAGCCTTAGGAACAGAGCAGTCCTCCATGGGGAGATGCTCCTGATTTCATCTCTCTGCCGTCGTAGCCAGCTCTGCTTGGTGACATCGCGGTGCTATCGGGAGGGAAAACCACCCCTGGTTCTGCTGAATCGAGATAGGAGTATTGCTGCAATAACACACAAGGGAAATAACTAGTCAGTGTAAAGCCGTGCAGTAATGTAGGGTGTAGATGCACAAAGGAGTAATGATATTGCTGCTAGTGCTTAATCATGAATGTTAATACAAAAACAAGACGATACAGTGGCTGTTAAGGAGGATTTTGTCCCATTTTCCCCGCTGTGCTCAGCTGTCGTCTTCGCTCCTCTCCCTCCACCTCTGGCACCAGCAGCTCCCGGTTTGGCACTGGAGGAGCCGCCGCAGCGGGGGTTGATCCGGGTGTTGATCCGGGTGTTGATCCGGGCGGCGTTGCCACATCCACCTGCCCCAAGACTTTGATGTAGTAGCCGGGAATGCGACAAATGCTGTTTCCAAATACGCATATAAAAGGGGGGGAAAAAAAACCCTGCAAAAGGCTGTTTCCTTGCGGCCAGACCAAAGGGCCTCCCTGTCCCGGTGCCGGCCCCGCGGGCTGCAATCGGGCACCACGA